TATATATATATATATAGAGAGAGAGAGAGAGAGAGAGAGAGAGAGAGAGAGAGAGACAGAAAGAATTTTACCGTAAACATTACTATGAAATTTTGTAACCAGGAAGATCGATATTCTGTCATAATTGACTATCTTTTTATTTTCTTTATATGTGCTATTTAGATTTTATAAATAGGAATGTGTCATTAGAAAATTTTTTGTTTCTAGCAAAATTTGCTATATTTCTAGTGAAACTTACTGTGTTCCTTAGATCTTAATAACCTTACCGACCTTATTGAAGGTCTTTATTATCAGTCTATTCCTATACTATTAAAAACATGGTAAAATTGAAATAAATTTATACGAAAAAACAATATTCTCTAAATGCGCAAATAGATAATATTTTAATATTCCTCTAATTTTTCTAATTTCTAACCATGGATATAAGTGCCAGAATTTTTTGAGCCTATAACATGTGATTTTATTCAAGTAATTTCGCTTGTACACTGTTAAATATTGGAGGGTCAAATGTAAACCAATTTCTTGAGTTAAATAATATTTAGTTATTTTTAACTATCATGTGTATCAAAACATGTGTTTAAAAAAACAACCACATCTAATTAACCCATTTAAAACAATATTAAGTCATTTTTTACTAAAACAAAGGTTACATTAACGTGCACATAATAAAAAATAAACTAAATTTTAGTCAAATTTAATACATTTTTTAAGTTAAATTATTTAACTCCATTACATTAGTTAAATTAACGACATATTTAGTAGGAGCAGTAGCGACTTATAGGAATGGTTAAAAATAACTCAAATTGAGTATAATTTGACACTACGGATTTAACAGTGTAATTGTAACTTTTAGGTTCACACACGATAATTTCTGTGTACCGGTTCGCTCCTCACTATACTCCATTCCTTTCTTATTGATTATATTTTTTTTTTGTTTTTCTCAACGGGCCACTGCGACCCGCAGTGAAGGCGCTATTGATTCCACCGGCTTCTCGGCACACGCGGGGGAGCAGATTTTTTTCTATACGAAGGCAGAAACGACGGCGATACCGAGTTCCTTCGAGCGGAATCAACGGTTGCACGTCGGCGCAGCCGAAAACTCGTAAAGGCGAGATTGCCTGCTCGTTTTACGATCCTTCTATCGCGTTTTCGGGATTATTTGAGAAAATGGAATCCTTTGCGGGCCTCGCTCGAGTGGTTTCGGAAGAAGCAGTGCGCGCGGGGGAATCTCGCGGATAGAACTATTGCGGCGCGCGAGGGCAATGCTGCGGTGGTAAGGGTGAGAGGGAGGAGGGGGGAGGGGGGAGACTGCGTAAAACGCAGCATCCACCAGTGGCGATGCGGAGAGAACGAGATAGGCGACGGGGAGGGGAAAAAATCGTGAGCGCCAAGTGTGGGGGCGAGAGGTAAGAGCGGCACTAAAATGCAAACCAGCTGGAAAATCGTAAAAGCGAAAATGTTACAAATGTAATAGCTCGCTCGCTCGCTCGCTGCCGTCGCCGCCGCCGCCCGCCCGCTCGCCGTCCTTCCTCCCTTCCCGCCTTGCCTTCCGCCTCCACCCTCGTCGACGACGATGGGCGTTGCGGGGTTGCAACCTGCGCGCCGTGGAAACCGGCGAAAAAAAGCCAGATTGCGGGGGGTACGGCGTGATGGGCGAGGGAGGAGATAAGGGGAAGGGAAAAGGTAGGGAAACGAGATACCAGCTCGCATTCGTCAAGCGTTTTATGGCGGCCTGCGTTCTACGAGCCGGGAAAACGCCCGGCGAGAAAGGGCGAGGCTGTAAAAGGACCGCGAGGGATGATGCCTCGTACACTTTGTCGCCATCACGCTGAAGCATTTTTCTCCTTTCTCTCTGTCTTTCTTTCTCTTCCCTCTCTCTCTCTCTCTCTCTCTCTCTTCCTCTGCTTCTCTTTTCAGGAGCATGGAACATAATAGCGAGACTTTTGAGGCTCGAGACATGGGAGACTGAGTTATTATGCTTGTCAACCAAACGGGATAATAAGTTCGAAATAAGTTTCTAGGAGGAAATTTGTTTGAAGTCTTTGGCCCGCTGCTGGGGTGAGACGCTTTTATGGAGGCTCTTTATAAGAGCCTCCATTAGTCGGTTTCGTTTATAGGAAATTAGGGCGGTTTGAGGGCAACAATGTTCAACGACAGCGATCGATCCGACCTGAGAGTTTTCGTGGAAGCGGGGAGCTGAAAAATCGGGCCGTTGAAATTACCGTTAATCCGCAATTTCCAGCGCGCGCAAGGGTAGAGAGCAAGGGTGAATGAAAGAGAAAGAAAGAGAGAGAGAGAGAG